TTTACCACAAGCCACTTTGTCAAGTGGTTTCCATTTTTATCGATGGATCAAAGTTGTTTAGTGTTTCTTATGGATGGGCAGTCAGTTGGTCATAGATTCCCACAGGAAAGAATAATGACAAATGAGATGTCTTTATGAACATATTGTAGAATCTTATTCAGTTTCAACCGCCCAGATTTTTTTTTTTCTGTGAAGATGACCTCAGTACATTTGTCTCCTCTAGCGTTTTAGTGTCTCGTTGGCTCAAACTTTGCTCAGATTTGCCAAATGGCAAAGTTTGAAATCATAAGTGAGAGATTTCAATAAGATATTATACATTTATTATTAGAAGTCTTCATCATCTTCATCTTCGCTATCTGAGCCGCCCAGTTTGCTTATGCCATTGCATGATCATCAATGGACTCTTTAACATTATATAGATCTTGTATTGCAGCCGAGTGGCTCTGATTTTACTGTAGGTGTTGTGAAGGATGAAATTGACACTTATGTTGTACCCACAATGCCGGAGTCTCCAGCCACCATTGCCGCCATGCCAGAGTCTCCAGCCGGGAGGTCGATCCCGGACACACAGTCTGCCCAGACACGACCACGGGGGTCGTTCCCGGACACTCAGTTTGCCCTGACCTGACCATGGAGGTTGTCCCCAAACTCTCAGTGAGCCCTAACACGAACACTGAGGTCATCTATGAACTCTCAGTCTGTCCTGCCACGACCACAGAGGTCGCCAATGAACTCCCTGCCTGTCTCGTCTCGGCCGTCATTGTAAGTTCCAGATTCTCTGTCAAGGAGACCGTGATTGAAGTCTCAATCTGTTATATCCTGCCCCTAAAGGCCAATCCTAACCTTGCTGTGCTCTTTATTCCAGTTCTTCCTGATCTGCCCTGGTGGTCTTGAGGTCTGCCTTGGTGGTAACCAGCTCTGCCTGCTCCACAATAATGGTCATCAGCTATGCTTTGGTGGACTTTAACCCTGCCAGCTCTGCCGTGGTGGTCCTCAGCTCTGTCTGGTCTGGTGTGGTGGTCTTCTGCTCTGCTGTGGGCATCTTCAGTCCCTTAGCTACACACTGGTCACCTATTCTGCCTGCTCCACCCTGGTATCCTACTCTGCCAGCTCTACCCTGGTCACAAAATTGTTTAGATTCTACAGAAATAAAGCAAAAACAATGAAACCAAATTAGCCAGTTTAAAACAAAAAAAAAAAGAGAAATTACTGTATATTATTCTGTCAATGATTTGATTCACATAATAACTTTGCTTTAAATCTACACCCATCATTCTACCGACTAACACTCTAGAGAACAAAACTAATTAAAGCAAACAATCCCCCTTTCTCTCATTACTTTGCCCTTCATAAGCATCTTTTTCTTTCCTGTATTCAGGCCATCAATTTTCAGTCAACGATCATATCTCATTATCTCTATCCCAGACAAGCCATTCCCTTGACAATAAGTTAAAGTTCCTCATTGCAATATAATAGCGAAAAATGTAACATTTGTGGATTTGAGCATTCAACAAGGTGCTGGAAGCATTCTTTAGAAATGTTGGCCCATATTGATAGGATAACATCTTGCAGTTGATGGAGATTTGTGGGATGCACATCAAGGGCACAAAGCTCCTGTTCCACCACATCCCAAAGATGCTCTATTGGGTTGAGACCTGATGACTGTGGGGGCCATTTTAGTACAGTGAACTCTTTGTCATGTTCAAGAAACCAATTTGAAATGATTGAAATGATTATCCTTCTGGAAGTAGCCATTAGAGGATAGGTACATGGTGGCCATTAAGGGATGGACATGGTCAGAAACAATGCTCAGGTAGGCCGTGACATTTAAACGATGCCCAATTGGCACTAAGGGGCCTAAAGTGTGCCAGGAAAACATCCCCCACACCATTACACCCCCACCACCAGCCTGCACAGTGGTAACAAGGCATGATGGATCCATGTTCTCATTCTGTTTACACCAAATTCTGACTCTAGCATCTGAATGTCTCAACAGAAATCGAGACTCATCAGACCAGGCAACATTTTTCCAGTCTTCAACTGTCAAATTTGGTGAGCTCTTGCAAATTGTAGCCTTTTTTTTCCCTATTTGTAGTGGAGATGAGTGGTACCTGGTGGGGTCTTTGTTGTAGCCCATCCACCTCAAGATTGTGTGTGTTGTGGTTTCACAAATGCTTTGCTGCATACCTCGGTTGTAACGAGTGGTTATTTCAGTCAAAGTTGCTCTTTTATCAGCTTGAATCAGTCGGCCCATTCTTCTCTGACCATAGCATGCAGGACCACAACCCTAATGCATTGAAGCAACTGCCATGTGATTGGTTATTTAGATAATTGCATTAATGCAATTATAATGTAACTATATGCATGTGTAACTATATAATGTAACTATATGATGTAACTATAAGCATTTAAAAATAGAGCACCATTAGACATTTCTTTCACCCCCTGGGAGATAATCAATACCCATAATATATACAACAAACACTAGTCTGTACTGGTATGAGGTTCATATTGCTACTTAATAGGACACATTGAGTAGATGGAGAAAAAAGAGAGGAGTTGAGTGAAAGAGATTGAAGAGAGTGATGGATAACAATGACTGCTCTCTGTAACAGAACTCCACTTCTTGCTCAGAACATCCTATGACATCAGCATATCATGCACAAACAGCATATCACGTCGACAGCTCTTACTGTTGGATTAAACCAAAGACCCTTGATGGCCTGGGTAATTATACTTTTAAATATACCTCGATCAAAAGATTGAAGACTGTCAGTATGTCAAGTATACTCAAGTATTCATTTGTCAGAAGTACAAACAATAGAAAGAATGTATTCATTGTTATTTTTAAACAGACTTTTTGCACTATTATATTGACTGTATGCATAATTGCACTTTCTCAACTCATATTTGGCTGCTCTATCTGCCTTCATAGTATGTGCCTTCCCATTTTTTTTTAGTTTTACCTATTATGTTTTTGTGTGTTTTTGTCTGTACACCGTGGGATATAGGGAAACGTAATTTCAATCTCTTGTATGTCTTGACATGTGAAGAAATTGACAATAAAGCTGACTTTGACTTTTAGTTTAAATGAAGAATACTAATAACACACATTAAAAAAAAAAAAAATTGGTAAATAGATATTCTCCCTGAAATCAGGTGAGTCCTACAGTCATTTAATAATGTTGCCAATTTTCAATTTTGCTGATGATTCTGTTCAGGGGTTTGCATGTGAGCTACTAATCACATTTGTGATGGACAAGTGACGGCAGAGGAGATAACGTGTTAGAGGAGACATGTGCTCTTAGACTATTTATAGAGCCCAAGTCTTATCCATTAATGCACAGGAGAAACTGTGTGTACTTTTCATTTAATTAAGTGCAGGATCATGTCCATTGGTGTTTTAATAAACAGAATTGGACATTTGTTTAAGACCAGAACTGATTTAAGAAGCATTTTCACCATTTCACTTCTAAGCCTCAGAATATTCCTGTGTCAACTAAAAGTCTCGGCGCATATTTGTCAAAGCTGAATCATGTCCCCTGCTAAGCAAGTAAAGCAATCAAAAAAAGTATTTGGCGTTAAATACTATGGTGTAGGCGTTTACAGTAGTAAACGATAGTTGACCATCTCTTCTTCACAGGACAGAATGTCCAATCCATTTTTCCCCTACAGGCATTGAAGCAGACCGATCTGATGAACTCTGATAACACATGAATGAATGTTGTTCAGATTGCAATTAACCTCACATTCTATCAATTGCAGGCACACCAACAGAAGAAAGTAATCAAACCATCAGAAAAACTGTGTCGTTCATCAAACCCTAAGTGGTGCACCTTCTCATAACCTGACGGATGTGCCACGAACATATACATCATACCTCCCCCGAGTCCACAGGGAACTCTGCAGAGGATGCATATTAACCATCCGAGTTCATAACATGAAGAAGAGAGTGAAAATGACCTAGTTTAACGGCCTCTGATTCACCTTCATAAGCAGTAAAGGGGAAGGGGAGGGGGGCGAGAAGAATCAGGCCCACCTGCTCAAAAAGAATTAATTCAGTGGTGAAATTCAGTGAACTCAGCACACTGTTGTGCAGTGTGATTCAAGACTTGTACAGTGTAACACATCATAAAGACACTCCAAGCAGGAAGCCACATCCCACAAACATCCAGCTGATGAGGTAAAGCGTATGCTATTTACAGTGAGATCGTCGGATATTGATGTAAAAGTCATCGCAGAAAAAAGAAAATATGAAGAATTTCTTTCAAGATTTGGGGTACCAAATGTAAAAGTTCAAGAATCAGTCATCAACTGGGGAAGGGCGTATTTATTATTTATTTTAGTAACTTAATGAGATGTGTTTACTGCACTGGAGGTGAAGACGTTTAAGAATGAATTTCGATAGACCAAAATGCACAAGTGGGACTCATGATCACATTGATTATCACAATGCCCTCTTGATATGAAGAGTTCAGATGCAAAAGCCTCTAAATGCCATTTGAAATTTTCTTCTTTAATGATGATTTTTATCAAACTTCAGTAATTTCACTTAAATAACAATTAATAGGTAATTATCATTGCCATTTAAGTGAAATCACTGAACTTAAATATACAAGCTTGATAAAAATGATCATTCTATAAGAAAATTATAAATGGCACTTAGAGGCTTTTGCATCTGAACTCTTCATATGTACCACATACCGACATGCATACATTTACATGATTTGTCGCCCCCTCTATCCCTCTCTTTGACCAGAGGTATGAGAGTGAACCTAGTCCTCCCAGACTGTAGCCTCTTGAGACATTGAAACCCGAGACCTTTTAGGAAACAAACAGCAACAAGTAACCCGGCTTGTTTAAAAAGTCTCAAGTCGGGCAAGCCGTGCAAAAACTGCAGCATTTTGGCAGCCGCCCCATTTGGAAAGTGTAGGACGGTGGGCTTAAGAGTAAACAGCTAAAGAGGGGTACAAAGGTGGGATAGTAAGGAAGAGACTTACCAATCAGAAGTGTGACGACCAGACCTGCATGGACTACATCGCCGGACCCCGCACACCTGTGCAGGAAGGATCTACCTTGTTTCAACTCCATGTCAGACCGTCTGCCCTCTTGTGTCTGTCTGTCCCTGGTCGAGTCTGCCGCTGGATACTTTAGATCTGAGGGAGACCCGAAATCAATTCAGAAAGACTTTAAGCTGGGGAAGGCTTGCGGAGTACCTTCCTGTCCTAAATCTCCCTTTGCAGTATGTCCTGGTGAGGGAGAGAGAGAAATACGAAGACAGGACCTGATCAGGCTCTCAGTTGCGGCAGTGTCTCGCTGGCACACACTCCCTCTCTCACTCAGCGTGGTTGAAGACGCAGGAAACGCTGCGTTCATTCGGCAGCAGCTGCAGCGCAGAGCTCCACTTTCAGTCTAGGGAAGAGACTGTTGGTCTTACCCCTGAAGAGGAACATATTGAAGGAGGGGTGAAAGGGGGGTGGTGTGTGTGTCTGTAGCCGGCGCAGGAAAGAATAAGCCACTGCAGAGGTACGGGACGAGCGAGAGGGGAGAGAGAGAGAGAAATAAGGGAGGGCGGGAGAGTGTATGAGGAGGGGATGCGTGTGTGTCTTTTAGACTAGTCACATCTGTGTAGATCATAAAACCTTCAGTGTGTCCCGTCATAGCCAGTGCCTGTGAGCACATAGGACTCTTTCTTTTTGCCCCTTTCTGTTTTTATATCTGCGTACGCTGTTATTATTAATTTTCCGCCGCCTTCCGAATTTCATCTCCCTTACTTTTCTGTCCGATCTTGTTGCATCGCTCACAATGATATTTAATTGCTCGGAGGTTTCAAATCTCAGGAGCAAGGTCAGAAATTAATCACTTTACGGGGCAAAAATGGCACTAGAAGTGACCCAAATTATCCATATATTAAACATAGGGGTCAAAAAAGTCCTTTTATTTATCTGTTATATATAATTTTTTGAGTTGGCTAAGCCTATCTAGTAAAAAGAAGCAGGAGCAAACAGAAGTCTCCATTTAATCTCATTGACATCTAGGAAAAACAATTAACGAATTACAAAGATTCCCGTAGTGATTTTTCCTCCCTCCAATGGACCTCTTTTCAGTCTGTTTCTCTCTTTGGAGCTTTGCCAGGTCCGAAGTAAATCCAACCACGAACCCATGCACCCTAAATGTAGGACCGGATCAATGATTAAAGTTCCAGTAAGAGAAGCTAAATCGAACACTGCCTAGCTTGACTGAAATACTAAATATGAAGAAATGGACACTTGAGAGTCAGAGTATCCCAGCTGCACTCATTCAGGATATCAAATATATTATGTGCATAATTTATGAGGTCGTTTTAATGCATCTAAACAGTTTTGTTTTCCATAGTGGCTATTTTAGGCTTGTAAACACTTGATCGGCTGTTTTTGCAGATCTTCCCACTATGAAATTGATATCCTGGTCCCCATAATAATAATTTCGATTGCATTAATAAATGTTATTTTCATTTATTAAATAACATTCATAAATGAAATACCATTAAACCACAATTTATTTGCTTAGGTCAATGGCTATTGTTTATTTTAGCTAATCAATGATGATTGACTTCTGTTATGAGATTAACTTCAATGATGATTGACGTTTTAAGAAAATGTCGAGCTTAGCATTCTGTAGCCTCAGCTTTATACAACACCCCCGCAGACACCCTCTCATGCATATTGTGCACATACATGCCAAAAGCTGGATAAAATCACAAGCTCTGATTGACTGAATGCTACAGTACACAAATTGTGCACATTGTGTTTGAAACATACTTTAAAGTTTGTAAGGTTGGTGCCTTAAAATCTTTGAGAGGCACTAATTCGATATCCATGAGCAAAACTGTATATTGTGTATTGAGTGAAATTTACTTATTATTATTATAGTGCAGACAGAATTTTTTGATCTCTGATGTTTATTTCTTGTTTTATTAGCCGTTATTGTATCGTTAATTGTTTCCATGTCATCCACATATCTTCCAATCTTAATTGTTGGTTCTTGTCCACAACGTCTGCAAAGTGGAGCAAAGTTTATTCCGATAAAAGGTCTGGCTCTGAGTCTATGGGATCTGAAATGCACTACGTACTGTAGATTATTTGATTATGTGGGTCTCATCCCCCCAGAATTGTAACAATTGGATTGAACGTCAGATGAGCCAGCAGTGCAGCTGTTAAAATGGAAAGCTTAATACATGGAGGAGTGGACTGGGGCTCTTGTGGTCAGAGTTTTATGGACTATGACACTTGACTTGCCAATTGTTTTGGTCGTTCAATGCATATGTGGTTTTGAGTTGTGGTATAAAAGGGAAACAACTTATCAGTTATCAAACTAGTAAGGTATAGGACAGCCTCAAATTATATTTCACGAGTTCACGCTTACATAGAATTAAAGGGAGTAAAGTTTATGTAAATGATTAGGAGGGATGCTGCTAAACTCTCAATGGATTGAGGTGAGACTGCTAAATCTATATACACCCTTTAATCATTGATTGCTGAGTGCTCTCCACTTGTGTTAATTATCTGAACATGTTCCTCCCGAACTTTGCTCATAAAACATCATTTATTTTATTCCAATATTGTTGTTGTTGTTTTTTAAGTTTGCTTGTGCTTTTTTTTACTTTGAAATAGGCCTAAATACCTCTTGCTTGGATATATTATCTGGAATTAAATGAAAAGTCACCACCACAGCAACAAACTATGTTATCCTGGCCACATTAATCCAACATGGGAAAAATGAAAAGACAGTCACATCTCAGATTTGGAGTTTTCCCCTTCTTACACCCATAATATGCAGGTCTTTTTTGCCATTTTGGAAATATCCAGGTATATCTCGCCTACTGCACATTTTACTTCCTGCTTTTTGCATTGGTAAGAGTATATTCTGAGTGTGCATATGGGGTTGGTTGATGATGATATATGGAAAATATACATTTTTGTATATTTTAATACATTTCAGTGTTTTTTTAACTTTATTTGATAACTGTGAATCTTAAGCTTTGATCGGGAACATTTGCGGAAGAACGACATTGTTGCTTGATGCAGATGTGATACCAAAAAAAAGAGACAGCAGCTGTTTCACAGACATCTGATCTAAACAGAGATATTCACACACACACACAGATATCTGACTGAAGAATGTCATCATGTGTGGGCCGTTGTGATTTATAGGAGAGCACTCAATATCAACCCCCTGTGGTTGGACACACACACACACATACACACGAACATATACTTAGGACAATGTGACCTTGGGAGTCCATATCACAGCATATGTGTGTGTGCTTATGAGGGTGGAGATTCAGAGAGAGAGAGAGAGAGAGAGAGAGAGAGAGAGAGAGAGAGAGAGAGAGAGAAAGCAATTCCCATATTGCAATCTACTGTATAGAACCAGTAAGAATGAGAGAGAGAGCGATTGGACAAGAGAGACCCACTCATAGTTGAAGAATGGAGAACAGAGGTTGGTGGCACTTTGGAGCAAGAAACACTATTGGCTTCGGATTGAGAATGGCCATTCAATAGAAGAGAAAAAGAAAAGAATGTTTTATTACCGGGACCTTAATATGGATGGATAGATTTTACCTGGAAGTCACATACGGGACGCCACATGTCGAACTAAAGATTTACAAATTCCGGAAAGCATTCTGGAGGTGAAACGTTTGTTTATCATTGATAATAGCGAAGATACTGAACTCCCCGGACTGCACCAGCGAGGGGAGCATGATGTTGCAAAACTTCGCCAGACGGGAAAGGCAGAGAGGAATGGGGAGGGGCGGAGGAGAAGAGGTGTGGAGAACAGCAGGAGGGGGGAGAAAGCGAGCCGGAGAGGTAGAGAGTTAGAGAGTCTGCATTTCAAGTGCTCAACAGTGACCTTAGAATCTCCTTCTATGTGTCTCTCTCTCTTACTCACTCACTCTGCATTAAAGTACAATGCTACATTTCTTCAGACCTTTAGCATCCCAGGAACAACTACAAGAGTGTCTGCAGGAGGATGCAGCCCTTCCTACCTCTGTTTCTCTTTTGCTTCCTCTTATTCTACAACTTTATGATGCATGGAATGTGACGGGAAGGAGAAGTTTGGACTAATGTTCAGGACAGGCTTCACTTCACTACCACAGAATGGTACTTTAACATTTAAGAACAAAGACTTGTTGTTTGATGGTTCAAAACTGGGTGAGTAAAAGAGATTTTCATCTTTCCGTATTGTGAATAAACACATCTTTAAACACTTCACTAAAACTAATGTCTGTGTAAATGTTATTTAAGTTTTTTAATTCTTTTAGCTTGGGACACACTTAACAACTGTAAGGCCGATTATAAATGTAATTTGATTCTTACGACTGATCATGCCAAAACGCATGTGTTCAGCCAGGCGTTGGAAACTGTATGTGTAATTTTTTTCTTATAATGTTTCATGTGTCCGCGGCTTTAAGGAACCATTTGTACCTGGTCCGATTCATAAACATGACTTTTGTTGGTTAGTCAATCAGGTTGATTCAGTGACGATGTATCAATTAAATCAGATAACTTAGATGTTACTATGTGAAGCACATTTTAAGGTTTCCTGACAGAATACTGAAGAGACACTTTTACAAATCTTTACACTTACAAAGAGTAACTTACAATTCATGGGGAAATTTCAACGCATTAAAGAGTGGTACCTAAAGAAAATGTCATCGACTTCTTCATCTGAAGGGACCACGTAGGACCACAGCAGAAGCATGGCAATGAGACCCTTTCTCAGGGAACCAAGGTTACATTTGTAACTAGAGATGCTCCCTTTCGAATGGGAACTCGCACTGTGTCCTAGGATGCTAAAGCCTGTTTTTTTGCTTTTGCGTCCAATCAACGTCGACGCGAGCCCCTCTCCGACCCCTCCGCCGTAGCTCGACGTGCACCTCCCAAAAATTGTAACTACGTGTCGAGGCGACGCAGACAGCAAGGGCTGTGATTGGTCAGATTATACATCATTTCCAGAGAGTAGCTTTTCCGGTTTCCCCCTCCCGCTATAGCGCCATTTTTAAAGCGACTTTGTTGTTGTTTTTTTGTTGTTTTTTCAGTTGTTCCAACCCGATCTCACGACCAAGTCGTACGAATTCGACGAATGATTAAAAAGTGGCTAATTCGTAACAATTCATACGACCTCACTCGTACGAATTAATACGATTTTGCTAAATCGTACATATTTTACGAATTGGCCAATTCGTATGAATTCGTACGAATGACCTACCCCTTACCCCGCCCCTAAACTTAACCATCACGTGGGTTTAGACAAATCGTACGAATTAGTACGAGTGAGGTCGTACGAATTAGTACGAATTAGCCACTTTTTAATCATGCGTCGAATTCGTACGAATTGGTCGTGAGATAGTGTTGGTTGTTCAACTTCAACTGCTCCAGCTGCAACAACATTCTTTCTCTTTCGCTCGCCATTGTCGAAGGGCTGCACAATTAATCGAATTTGTAATCGCGATTACAATTATGGATGCCACAATTATGTAATCGTTCAAAGGCACAATCATAAAAAGTCCACTTACATTATTCTGTGTGCTTAAAATGTGTTTTTTTACAGGTTATCTTACGGGTTTTTTCCCCCCATTGTTTTAATTTTAGTTAGTGTAACATTATAATTATAATTAGCATTAAAGCAACACTATCTAACATTGTTTACTTAAAATAATGTTTCCAAAATCTGATCAGTGGTTCATCAAGTCGTAACAGGGTGAAAGGCACTTCTGCTGTCGCCTGACGGGGTCTGTATCACTTTTACTAACTTCGGGGTTCGGGTAGGAACCCGACCACAAAAAGAACTACAAAATTCGACTGCTTTACATCAAGCACTATAATAGTCATTTTTTCATTTTTCTTCGTTTCTGATGTCGCAATACATCATCCTTTCATGAAATCATGTAACATACTCTACCTTGTCTGTGGACATCGTTCATTCTAAACCCGGTGCTGGATAAACAGCGAGCGTGCGTGCGACGGTAGGCTAAATTATTTACGACAGCGGCAATGGACAATTTCGTTTCCAACCAGTAGGGCGACCGAAGAGGAAAAGTTAGTTGGTGTTACTTTAAACCATAGAAAGGAATTGCAAGTTTTTCAGGAGTTTTCAGGCGTTTTATTTTGATATAACAATGGCATAAAGCTGTTCAAAACATCATTCAATGTAAATTGTGATAATCGTAATTAATAATCACAATTATAATTTCAAGGCAATAATCGACAATTATGATTTTTGTCATAATCGTGCAGCCCTACCGGAAATGAAAAAGTGGAATCGGCGCACAGAACCAAAACAAACTAGCAAAGAGATTCGCGAACCACACCCCCTCCCCCCATAGCGTTCTGGCGGTGAAATGCACCACGATGCAACGCAACCTGACGCAGAACCATAAAACGGCCACGGCGTCGTAGGAGTGACGGCGTAGCTACACCGTGGAGTTGACGCAGAAGCATAATGAGGCCTTAATGGGAAACAAATGCCTACTCTGCCATCCTGAGGGGAATGCATGCTAGATTGGCTGTGACTAAGCCCTAAAGATTCAAATGGCCTAATTGTCAGAGTAAAATTCCCAAATTCCCAGACCCCAAGCTGCATGCCTCAATCAGGAAGGTCACACTTACCATTCACCTCGCTTGGTAAAATGGAAGGATTTGACCCAGAGCTCGAAGGCTTGGAATCATTTACCTAATGAAAGATTCCTTTAAGGGAGTATAACCTGGGACAAAAAAAGACACTGGCCTACAACTTCAGGGGGACATAAGCATCAACCCCTAGAATAACCAGTCTGCTTAAACAGAATCCCAGACTTAGCTCTCTAGCAGGGGCCTACAATGAGAAGGTATCCCAGAAAGGCAATAACCAGTTTCTCAGTCTTGCGTATGTTATACCTGCAGTTCTCTGCCATTGTGTCCTGTTATCCCATGTTTTGATTCATTCTGACTGTTGCTCTGAATTATTCTTTGCTTGTGTGTACTTTTGGACTGTCTTTCTGGTATTTGACCTTAGACTGCGTTAGGATTTTCGATTTTGGATTAGCATACTCACATATTATGGTAGCCCTGTTTGTCCTAAATAGTGTTATTACACCTTCGCCATTAATATGTTTATAAGCAACTGAAAAAAAAACCCCCACAAATGTCATGTCAAAACATCTCCTGAACCCCAAAAACACCTTAGACCCCGGAGGTAAACAGTAAACAGGTTCAGACACTGGTCACACTTAGGCGTACAACATTAGTTTTCTAGAACGCAGTGCGAGTTCCCATTTGAAAGGGAACTTCATGCATCTGAAAACTATTTAAAAAGGAGAAAAAGAGAGAATGAAAAAAGCTACTAAAAAAACAACATCAGCATTGGTTCTTATTTATCACCAGCACAGATCCAAGCATCGCTGAAACATTTATAAATTTACATTTCCATGTACATTTATTCATTTAGCTGACACTATTATCCAAAGCGACTTACAATTGCTATATATGTCAGAGGTCGCACACCTCTGTGTCTTGCTCAGGGACACATTGATGTCTCACAGTGAATTTGAAACCGTGTCTCTCACACCGAAGGCATGTGTCTTATCCAGAGTGCCATCACCACCCCCTAAATTTACTCTTGTAATAGAGACATCCTTATGGAAACAGTTGGGAAAATTAAATAAAAACACATAATTGTGAAATTGCCAAAATCTGTACACATTTAATTATAAAAGAACACAAGAGTGCTAATAAGTTACACACCAGGTAAGATTGGTCTTATGAGGAATTTGACTTGGTCATTCTAGAATAAATACACAAATTATTTGATAGTATACATATAATTACCAATAGAAATAAGAAAAAGAAGAAACAAGCACATCTGTGCATCTAAAAACGGACTAATTGCAGCGAGATTGAGTTGCTGAAGGGTTTTTACACCAGATTTTTAAATCACATCTGTCTTGCTGACTCACTAGTGGCAGCACCCCTAACATTACATGTGATTCATTTAAATATGTTTAAACTAAAATAAAAATTATTCTTCTGATTGCAGTATTAGTAATCAATAGATGGACATCTCAAAGAATTCATGGTGGTCTGTTTAACTTAATTTGTTGGCAGATTTTCAGTCTCGATATTGAAGTTGTCATGATGTTGTGGTAGCTGAATTTGGCACTTTGGTGTATATTTACATGCATGAGTCACCTTCACTTTTGCCTGTGCTGCAATTTTCTCCAGCAGTAGCTACATCGTGTTGATCACTCTGCAGAGACGCTGCCCCCTCAACACCCTCTCTCAGCATAACCTACATAAAAAACACCTGCCCTGCCTACCTGCTCCAAATGTCCTTAATGCATATGGCCATGCGCTAACATTAGCTGTTCTGGACAAAATAGGTCAAAGTAGCTCAGTAGGCTGCAATAAACTAAAAAAAATAATCAATATTTTAATACAATAATTGTAATATTTGATATTTCTTTTAAAGGAACTGATTCAGGTGTTTGCCCCAGAAGAAAGAAAGCTTAATGGGTTTTGAACATCATGGGGGTGAGTAACTGATTTTCATTTCAACAGAATTTTCTATCCTTTATTAAGCTAATATTTTAAGTGAAAATTCAAATATTTTTAGGGAAAAGTAAAAAAACAAAACAAAAAAAACACAGAAACAAAAAGCCTTTTTCTGTGTTTTTATTGAAAAAAAAAAAACAATCAGTGATGCAGCTCATTGTAATGGTTCAGCGCAAGCATATGTATTTAAAGTAGGCCAGGGTTAGACCTTACTAAAACAGAGGCATGCATGATGGAAAAATGCATGAAAAATACAAAAAAAACTGGTCCCCAAGCCATTCCAACCAGCCTCGCTGGACTGCTGTGATTGATTATGTCCATTTACATGTAATGCTTGTATGATCTTGATGTGTAGGCAAATGCATTAAGGAAAACATCAAGGCAGTACAATCAACAATATGGTATCATGGTTACATATCTGTGCTATAATTGACCTATAGTGTATATAATTATAATTACAAAATTATTAACAGATAATCAGGGATTTAGAATCATGTTGCCTGGCGATGAAGGCAATTCAACCTATGAATGACAACCATTAATGCACCAGCCATAAAAATCACTGTGTTCCACAGTCTATCTTTCAGAAGACGGCTTAATGTTAACTGCTGTGCAGCAAATCAAATTATAAGCTTTATGGTTATGTTTTATCCTTTTGGAGTGTCTTTGTGTCACTCACATTATTATATCTACACAATTGCAAAAACGCAGAGGGTTGTAAAACATACAAATAAAACTGTATAATGCACATGTCTACATGTGGACGTGAACAAAGTGACTTAAGTGTCATTTTGTGTGAAATTATAATTAAATACATAGCAATAACACTTAAAAGTTCTGATTACACAATATGTAAATGTCAATAGAACCTTATTGAGTCCATAACAATATCAGCACTGATTTAAAGATGTTGAATTCAAATAATAATAATAAACAGTATACATAAATGAGAATACATTCATACAGAAATGTATAGAGGTAACAGCAAATTAGTGGTACAACAGCATGGATTTCCCATGTATTTTTGGTAATTTTTTTTGTTAGTGATATAACAAGGAAGAATATAACATGTCATAAAATACAATAAAAAAATGTTTTTTTTTTTTTTTGGTGGATTAATTTCCATATGTATAACCACAGTTTTATCACTAATACCCATGGATAAACAATGGTTATAAATGGTTTATTTGTGGTAACCATGGATAACCATGTTTATTATTATTAATATTATTTGTTGTAAAGCCATGGTTATAATTTTATAAGAGATGATGGGGAACTGTAACATAATACATTTGCAGTGGGAAAAAAAATGTGTTGGCTTTGCTCTGCTAAAGGTGAGGCTTAAAATCACTGTGGCTCCAGGCTTTGGGCCTGTGCTGCATAAACGTTGTATTTTTTTTATTTTTACAGCATGCGAACCAAGTAACTATAGATAGTGAAGTAAAATAAGTACTACGGTAGTTTAAACTGTTATGGTTTGAAGGCAAATACTGTACAGTATATATTGTTCAAGTTTTTTTTTTTGTTTTTTTTTTATGCCAGAACAAAGAGGAACTGTTTATTAAGTAATGAATGAAGCTAATGTTCTAACCTACATCTCTATTAATTGCTTCAATTTAAATAGACAGACTTTTCAACGTCATTCAAGTACAACATATATATAAATATATTTAGATTTAGATATATTTATTTTTATTGAATTAAACTATTTAAAAATACTTCTCACGTTTCCTGAACATAACACAAAATCATACTGTTGTAACGTTGATGCTATTCTTTGCAGAAATTGTTATATTTAGCAGATGATATGTATGGACTACTACACAGTCCATAGTCTACTACTATGAGTACAATAAAAGTGAGTTCACAATCAATGTTTGTTTCACAATCAAAATGGATTCCCAACACATTCGATACGGAAACAAGATTATATATTTTTTAAACAGAACTAAAAGTCTGGTTTTGGTTTTGTTCTTTTTCTTTTGGAAAAAAAGGTAGAGTGAATTAATTAAAGGTTATTACTTCCTCTGTATACCACAATTCAATTTTCCATGAAATGTTTCATTTTTAGTTAAATTTGACACATTCAATCATCTTTCACTTGCAAAAGCTTAAGACTCAATTTTAACATTTTTTAAGCATCTTTCAGATTATAAGATTAGCTGTGAAAATTGATTATCAGGTTAAAAATGAAGTGTTCATAAATTCAGTACAGAGAAAAATAATAAAAACGTATATAGATACTAATGTGAAATAAATTCACACATTCCAAATAACACACCACAACATACAGTACTTGTCAAACACAATAATATCAACAATCAAATTAGTTGTTTTTTTTTGGTATCCACCAAAATGTTTCAAATACCACATAATCGTTGCACCTGAAATGATGATGTTTGTGTGTGAAAACACTGTTTTGTAAATGGCATTTTCTATAAATAGGGTACAAAATGCCTGAAACTTAAAAAAAATATTTTAGGGTTTCAATTTTGGCATAAATTAAGCTGCATGTCGCTCCAAAGGATATTTGAGTGATTATATATATATATTTCTATTCATAATTTCTGTCTTGCTGTAAAAGGGTCCAATTTGGCTTATTTTTTTGGCCTGACAAGGAATGTCGCACGTTTAGTTTTTACAATGGAAAAAAATGTTTTTTAAATTGAATTTCAAATTCACTTATTTTTTACTATTAGCAAAATGTTAAAAACTTAAATGTCCATATTTTAAATTTATGTCACTCTTCTATGATTTACATTTTTTAGATATAGTCAAGAAAGTCCTCTGAGGTGGAACAGACTAAAATCGCCATTTAAAAAAAAAAAAAAACACTCTTCATGCTATGTTAGTTTTATATTAAATAACAAGCATACAGTTTCTAATAGGTCATAACAAAAACACAAAGGGATTTGTGGCTCTAAAGGGAGATCTGGGGTGCGTTTCCCAAAAGCATCGTTAGCCAACTACGATCGCAAGTTCCGTCGTTATCAGCATAGTTCAACGAGTCCGTGTTTCCCTAAACCATCGTTCCAACGAACATTCGCAAAGTTGTGTGGTTTGAACGACAGATCTCGACCATCGTTTCTATATTGCAGCACATTTGGATGTAACAAATCCTTATCTTGAGCAAAATAAGCAAGCTGACATTCAGTACAACCGGTGCCTTTTATTTAGAATACATACAAATGCAATTTACGTCTTTTAGTTTTTCAAAAGATTTGAAGTACCGTGTTTGAAGAGTGCGCATGTGCGAACGTGCTCTACTATATAAGAACGAGCCAAATATTGAGTCAGGTAATAAAGCAAAATAACTGAACAATCAGAAATAGTCCTCAGATGACATGTCTTTAATTTATATTAAAAAATCTAGCGTTAATTGGATCTCAAACAGTTTCATTAAAAGTAGTTATTACTCCACCACGTGCGAAACCAACGTGATTGAACTATGCTTTGCGACAGTGGGTTTCGGGAAACAGTCGTGACTAGCTAGTTGATTTCTCCAACGATGCATCGTACCATGGTAGTGAAACAGTGAACTACGTCGTTGTACGGGAGTTCTGCACTGCAGAACTTGAAATCCAAGGGGAGGAGTTGGATCTAGATCCAACTTTTCCCACCTTACATATACCTAAACCTACCCATCTCCGCCCCCTGATCCCTAACCCAACCCCTAATCCTACCTATCTCCGTCCCTGATCCATAACCCCACCCCTAATCATACCTATCTCCACCCCTAATCCTGCCCATCTCCACCCCTTAGATTTGGATTCAACTCCGCCCCCTGGATCTCGTGTACAGCAATGAGGTGCTACTGTCTAAAGGCTGTGACACACCAAGACGATTTTAAAGAACTAGCGGCGATGAAAGCCGACTGTGTTGTCACCTTAAAAAGCTGGACTTGAAGACAACGTAAAGGCTACAGGCGACAGTCAGCACATGCGTGTAAGAAAACAATTGTCTACATCAGCAAGTATCAATAGTCTATATTCGTCATTCAAAAGTGGAAACATTAGCCACATTCCCATTAAATATCAATCATGCGGATCACTTTTTTTAATTTCAGGCAGCACAAGGTATGCCAATATTTGTGCATCGAAATGCTCAGGTAAGATGCCGTGCTCAATCGGCCAAAATACCCCAGACAAAGTCCAACTAGTGCCGACGGTACAGAACACACCACCAAAACTGGGCCAGCTGACGTTCAACGATGGCCCGATGCTGGTCGATGACCGACCATCTGCTTTTTGTGTAAGGGCCTTAATGCTTTTAAAAAGTCATGGGACACTAAAGTGTACTCTATTCATAGATTGTGCCAGATGCTTATGCAAAGTAATGATTAGTTTTGTGCAATTAGTGTGTATCGTGTATAAGAAAAAGAAAATTGTCATGCAATGATTGTACATGTTTTGGAGGCGTGTTATATAAACAAGCAAATAGATTTTAATGGATAGTCATGGTCAGGTTCAAGGTATCACTGCTAAATATTTTGCTGTTTTAGTACATGCTAGATTGTACAAACAGCACAGCATTTTGCACAACGAGAAGGCACACACACATACACATACATTATGTTTCTGCATCCACGTAAAGAGGACGTTGAGGGCAGTGATTTCTCAAGAAACTGTCAAAATGTATAAACACCATAAAGGTAACTTTGGCAGTAATAAAGCAGGACTTTGTATAATTTAAAACTCTCCCTTTTAGAAAATTCTTAGCAGAAATACTGGATGGCTAATATTTGTAGTGCTAATAGTGGCAGTAGTTGAAGAAAAAAGAGATACTGACCAAATAAACAGTTCTGTAGGACACTGTTATCACATTAGCCTGCCATTTTGAGTGGACGAGGCAGTATAAAACCCTTTGTGATTTCTCACCAGTGATTGGACGTCATGGCACTGTGGCAGAGATCTTCCTAACATGACATGTCTGGTCGCTACACAAGAAAACCGAGGAATGTTGAATGAGACGTTACAAGACGAAGAGTAGAACACGTTTTAAATATCTTCAGGCAGGAGGCATAAATTTCTGAAAGGTAAAAGAAAGACAATGAAATGTGAGAATTTATTATTAACAGGATATTTAATAATCTTGAAGGAAAAGAAAATCCCATTAGTTGGGATTAGTTGAGTTCAAAATTCAAGATTTTTATCGTGTTATCTGATAGTCTCAATGAATTTGGTTTAGAATACTAATTCGGGAAAAATTTCCAAAATGTTCCAAAAAGTTCGAAAATATCATTTCTGTGGATCCTTTCAATCAAAGAAAATCCCATTAGTTGGGATTAGTTGAGTTCAAAATTCAAGATTTTTATCTTGTTATCTGATGGTCTCAATGAATTTGGTTTAGAATACTAATTCGGGAAAAATTTCCAAAATGTTCCAAAAAGTTCGAAAATATCATTTCTGTGGATCCTTTCAATTAAGCAGTTCAAAATACTAATTCAATGATTCACTTGAATTGTTGTATTTGTATATATAGTGTACTTCAGCAAACCAAATAACTGTATAAGACCTGCTCTTGCAATATATATATATATATATATATATATATTGAGTGGAATATATATATTGCAAAAACAGTTACTTGGTTAGCTGAAAAACACTGACAACAACCACCACAAACAGACACAACAGAACCTAACCAGGGGTGCGTTTCCCATACAGTGACGTAACTCGCTGCTTAACTACCA